CATTGTGCAGACCAGGAGGCGGGGCTCCCTGGGGCTGATGGGCTTTCTTCTGCTCCCTTTCAGCCGTCTGATTGCTGAAGACCCGGTCGAGCTCCGGATCTGCATCACCCACTGCCTGGACCACCTCTCCATGGTGGTGCGGGCCCTGCAGCCCTTTGTGCCCCCGTTTGGCTGCAGACCTCGACGTGGAGAAGGCTTCTGAGACCTGACCTAGTGCCCCTCCTACGGCAGTGTGCCCTTCTCAAAGACATGAATTTTGGTGCCACTTACTACTGCAGAAAATAAAGTCTTCTTACTGCACCTCCGACTCTTGAGTTTCCTTTTAGCGCCAGCATCTCCACACTTTCTTTCTTTTGGCGGGTTGGAGGTTAGGTTTCGGGACTTAGATATTCAAGTAGTTCCAAAGTTGTTATTGTTAAGTGCCGTCCAGTCAGTTCTGACTAGTAGCGACCCTGTTTGCAAGGAGCGGCTGGTGAGTTTGAACCAACAACCTTGAGGATAGCAGTCCAGTGCTGATCCTACAGAGTCACACCAGGACTCAGTACATGGGTAGCGAAAGATGATCTGGAGAATGGGAGGAAATGAAAGTCAGGTGTGTCTTGTCATGCCACATTCACGTTTGGAATATTTGCTGAATTGTATATATTTATGCAGCACATAAAGAGCTCTGGTAACGTAGCGGTTACCAAAAGGGCTGTTAACCTCAGGGTTAGCAGTTCAAAACTACCAGCTGTCCCGTGGGAGAAAGAGGAGGCTTTCTGCTCCCATCAAGATTTACAGCCTCTGAAACCCTGTACAGGGTCGCTGTGGGTCGGAACCGACTCCACGGCACATAACAATACAGCACATGCATGGCAATAACATATTGTGCACGTGGTTTCTTTTAAGTTAAAGGGTTTTGTCCTAATTTTTTTTCATTTGACGTTCAGCTTTTCCTTTTTCTAAAAATTCTTCAAGTTATTGAATGGATGCATAAAAAGATGCATTATAATGTAATTGTTGAACACTGAAGTTGTTCCTGATTTTTTTCCTACAAATGATTCAATGGGATTCTTGTATATAATTGTTTGCATGAGTAGTTATTTATCTAACATAGATTTAAACAATCACTTCTCCATTCCTTACTTATTTAGGCTCTTGATTTACAAAACTGCACTCCAGAAAAGGTGCCTTCTTTCCAGACTTGGTTTCCCCACATCCTTGTGGATATTGGGTTGACTTCCTGCCTGAATAAAAAACTTAGTTTGCATAATGAGAAGAGCAAACAACCCAGAGACACTAGAATAGGAATTCAGTGGCTTACTGGCCTTATTTTAGGTCAGTGAAGAAAAGTGCCAAGCCAGTTTGGTGAAGTGTTTGGGGTTAGCCTCTAACTTATGGCAGCGCCCTGCACAACAAGATGAGATGCTGCCCAGATCATTTTGATCCATAGGGTTCATTGGCCGGTTTTCAGAAATAGTCGGTCTTAGTCTGGAATGGAAGTTCTGCCATAGCTTGTTCAGCATAATAGCCAGAAGCTGTGGTGGACGAGAATCCTAAAAGGGAGAAGAGGGACAGTAATGGGGTAGGCAGGAGAAAGGGGCCTGAGGACTTCCCTTTCCGAATAGGACTTACCAGTTTAGCCCAGAACTATGGGTCCAGTTCACTGCGGGACTGCCTCTGTTCACTCATGGAGGTATCGCCATCTCAGTTGGAGAAGTCTATGTTGCTATGTGCCATGGAGTTGGTTCCGACTCAGCGACCCTGTATGGGAGCGGAAAGCCTCATCTTTCTTACGCAGAACCACTGGTAGTTTCAAACTGCTGACCCTGAGGTTGGCAGCCCGATTCATAACGATTCATAACCACTATGATACCAGAGCTCCTGCCATATTATTTTTAATGAGTATGTAATACTCCACAGGATATATATACAGGTGGTGGTGATACGCTGTGGAGTCGATTCTGACTCATAACAACCCTGCCTAGGGTTTCTGAGGCTATAAATCTTTACAGGAGCAGAACAGCTGGTAGTTTCGAACTGCTGACCATGAGGTTAGCAGCCTGACTCGTAACCACTACGCTGCTAGAGCTCCTTATACATACAGGCAGTCCCCGGTTTATAGATAAGACCCATTCCGAACTCTGACTTTAAGTCGAATTTGTAGGTAAGTTAAAACAGATGCACACCGTTCTTAGGGTTCCTTTAGTGCAAGGAAGGCTCAGTCTTCTCTATGACTCAAAGCTGCAGACACAGCAAGTGAAGATGATGGCAATGAAGAATTTGTTGCAACTAGGAGTTGGTGCAGTCACTTAGAAAAACTTGCAGAATATGAAAGGGTAAGTGCAAGTTGTCCAGGAGTACCATGGAACTGTAGGATCAGCACTGGAGTGCTGAGCACAAGGTTGGCAGTTCAAACCCACCAGCCGCTCCTCAGAAACTCTACATAGGGTCGTTCTGAGTTGGAAGCAACTTGACAACACAACAACAGCAATGAGGTGTCCATAAATCAGACATTTGTCACACAGGGACTTACTGTATACTATAATTATTTTAAGGAGCTCCGGTAGCATAGTGGTTACGAATCAGGCTGCGAATCTCACTGTCAGCAGTTCGAAACTCCCAGCTGCTCCGCGGGAGAAAGATGAGGCTTTCTGCTCCCGTAAAGATTTACAGCCTCAGAAACCCTGTACAGGGTCGCTATGGGTCGGAACCGACTCCACGGCACATAACAACAACAACAATTATTTTGGAGTCCTTTTGTGGCAGTGCAGGATAAGCATTGGACTGCTAGCCAGGAGGTTGGCAATTCAAACCCACCAGTCATTCCTGGGAAACCTGACAAAGGGTCGCTATGAGTCAGAACTGACTTGAGAGCACTTAACAGCAACACGATAGTTATAGTAATTGTCCATTATATATAAGCCTTTAAATCATTTCTAATTGTTCAGTATTATGAACTGTGTCCATCAGAATCCTCCAGAGAAATAGTACCCATGACGCTATAGGTTTCTAAGGCTCTTGTGGGGCTAGGCATGGACTGCTGACCAGAGACTCATGAAAACAAACGAAACTGTCTGTGCCCGTAAAGATGTGCAATCCAGGATACGCTATATAAGGTCCCTGTGACTCAGTGGATTTGGTCATCTTTATGGAATTAGACTGCCATGGAACAATGGGTGGGTCCGCACCACCAACCTTTGGGGTAGCAGCTGAGTGTTTAACCATTGCATCACCAGGCTCCAAATAAATAGATAGCTAGATAGATGGATAGATGCAGAACCAAAAAACCAAGCCCATTGCTGTTGAGGTGATGTCGATAGGATAAACACTAGACTGCTGGAACCATAAGGTTGGCCATTCAAACCCACTGGTCACGCCCCAGAACTTCTATACAGGGTTGCTCTGGGTTGGAACCGACTCAATGGCACTTTATACCAACAACAGTATGGTGACTTTATAGGACATCTTGGAACTGCCCAATAGGATTTCCCAGGCTATAAATCTTTATGAAAGCAGACTGCTGCATTTTTCTTTTGCAGAGAGACTGGAGTGACTGGTGGATTTCAATCACCAACCTTTTGGTTATTAATATAACCTTTGGTTAGCATTGGAGCTCTTAACTGCTGTGCAACCACGGCTCTTGACAGGTAGATTATAACTCTTCTAAGAAATTGGGCCAGGCAATTGTGGGGGCTGGCAAGTCTGAAATCGGTAAGGCAGACCAGCAGGCTGGAAACTCAGCAAAGAGTTGACACTTCATTCCTGAGCTTTTGAAATCCACAAGGCAAGCCAACAGACTGAAACTCAGGCAGAAAGTTTCTGTTACAGTCTTGAGGCACAATTCCTTCTAGAAACCTGTTTTTGTTTTAGGGCTTTCTTGTCTCCTGATGGAATGAAGCCCACCAGCATTGTCACGGGTGATCTCTTTTACTTAAAGTCAGCTGATAGTTTTCTTGAGAATTCCTAAAATAATGAAAACATTGCTAAAGGAACTGTATGCCTGATGCAAAGCCCCGAAGCCACACCTGAAAAAATACTAATCATTTTGAGCTTCAGCAGTAAGAAAGCTCATCAGCAAGATCACAGCAAGGCTGGACAATTCCTTCTGGGTTTTGAGACAAATAATTCCAAATTTAGAGTTTGCGGATCCCAGAAATTAGGATAAGCAAAACACAAAATCGTCAGTTCGAGCCCACCAGCTGCTCCTGAGAGAAAGATGAGACTTCCTACTCCTACAAAGATTGACAGCTTCAGAAACCCTACACAGAGTTGGCTATAAGTCAGAACCGACTTGAAGGCATTTAACAACAGCAACAAGATCATGAAGAGTCTTGGTGGCACAGTGAATTAAGCATTGGGCTGCTAATCTCAAGGTTGGCAGTTCAAACCCATCAGCCGGTCTGTGGGAGAAAGATAAAGCTTTCTGCTCCTGCAGAGATTTAAAGCCTCAGAAACCCTATACAGGGTCACCATAAGTCAGAACACACTCCACAGCACTTAACAACAACAAATAGGGTTGCTATGAGTCAGAACAGACTCAGTGATTTTAAGATCATCAGAAGTGCTTGGCTCCCTCCTGGTTTACCTTTAAGAATGATTTTGTGTCAGCTTTCACTAACCCAGAGCTTTGCCCTCAGTGAACACACAACTCCAGTAGCCCAGTTTTTATCGTCCAGTGTGACTCCATATTGACCCAATCGTGAATGGTGAATCACTCCACATTTCCCTATTTCTGCTTCTAGTAAGGTGCTTTCTGGTGCCGTATGAGTTAGGGCACTTTGGTTGTAAAGAAAATCCAGCTGTGACTAAATTGAGGGGATTTATTAGGGCATGGTTATGTGGTTATGTGCCGTGGAGTCCTTAATGCGCTGTGGACTGAGTGTTGAACTGTTAACCACAAGATTGGTGGTTCAAACCCACCAGCTGCTCCTAGAAAGCTGAGGCTGTCTGCTGCCATAGACATTTACAGTCTCAGAAACATTAGAACAGTTTGACCCTGCCATCTACAGGTCACTGTAAGTCGGAATCGACTCTATGGCAGTTGGTTTTGTTTGATTTTATTGGGGGAGTACGGAGCCCTGGTGGCTCCATAGGATAAGCACTGGACTGTGAACCATAGGGTCAGTGGTTCAAGCCCACCAGCTGCTCCATGGGAGAAAGATGAGGCGTTGTGCTCTCACAAAGATTTAAAGCCTTGAAAGCCCTACAGTGTCGCCGTGAGTCGGAACTGACTGGACGGCACTTCATAACAACAACAACAAGGATCCCTAGTGGTGCATTGAGCTAAGCTAGCCACAAGGTTGGTGATTCAAACTTACCAGCCACTCTGTGGCTGTCTGCTTCTGTAACGATTTACAGTCTTAGAAACCCTATGGAGCAATTGTACTCTGTCCTTATAGTTTATTGGGGCAGTGCAGAGGAGCTCACAGAATTGAAGTTAAGAGCTCTGAGTAGTTAAGTATCAGGAAGGAGATGCCTCCCTCTGGGGAAGCTCATGAGTAGGAACTCAGCCTACTCAAGGAGTAGCTCCAAGGAGTAGCTCCAAGGAGCTGCTCTCAGCCAGCGCAGTTGGTCAACTTCCCACCTCTCTGTGTCAAATTCCTGGAAGCTAGGCTTACCTTTCCCAGGGAACAGGGGAAGAAATGAGGACAGAGAATGACACAGAGGAGGTTAGGGGAATGGGTGGACTCGAGCATGGTTGTGCTGATAGGTTTTGAGCGTGTGGGTTTCCTATTCTTGAAGACTTCCAGGAATATTTTTGTTTAAATACATTATGCATGCACACACACAAGAGCAGTCCTGTTGTTATTGGGGTGACATTTGTAGGAGCCACATGTCCTCTCTAGGACATATTCATCAGGCTTCTGTCATTACAGCCCATTACCTGGTTAGGGGGTGAGGGGCTATTACTCTACCAGATAGTAAGGTAGTAAGTGAGGTTGAAGGGAAGACATGCCAAGACAGGAGGCTGGAAAAATGATGTCCGCATTCAAACGTAAGCCCCACGGCCTCGGGGAAGGTAGCAATATATCAGCCAGGCACCAGCAGGTATGTCCTAAGGGACCAAGCCCAAGATGTAATCGGAGACAACATGAGCTGAGTACATGAAGAACAAGAGGGTCACAAGTTGGATTGCTCAAGTCAGAAGAAAAGAAGGCTGCTCCTAACCTTGTCTTTTACCCAAAAAAAAATCATAAATTTCCAGGAGAGTCCAAGGTTTCGTTATTAAATTCTATTTAATTTCAATTAAATAGAAAATATGAAACAGTGAAGTAGTAGAAAAAAACATCAATGAAGGGATTTTATGCATGATTCAAAACCCAGAAGTCACATCTAAATAAAAAGTTCTCACTAGTTAGTTATAAAACTACTGAACTTATTTATGACCAAGAAAGCACCATAAAAACATCAAATTGGGGACATCACTGGTAATTTACATAATAAACAAAGCATGATACAAAATCCAAAAACCACATAAAATCAATGTCCAATTACCAAAATAAAAGTTACATTCTATTATAAAAGAAAAAGACCCCATAAATAGAAAAAAAAGACAAATAAAAAGTTATGGGGGGGGGTTATAACCCAAATAGGAAACTAAGCTAATAGCTCTAAAGTACAATCCATAATCAATCAATCAATACAGAAAAGACAAATAATCCAGTAGAAATTTTCACAAAAGACAGGAACATGCAATTCATGAAATAAGAATTATAAGTAGCCAATTCGATATGTGGTCTGAGCCTACTCATGTAACTAAAAGCATTATAAATTGCATGTTAATACAGCCAATGAAATAACCTGAAAGAATACACACACAATTTTTAACAATGGTTAGTTCAGGAACAGAGATTATAAGAAATTTTACCATATAATTTTCATTATGAAAAGGCTAAATATGTTTTACTGTAAGTATAGATTACCGTTGTAAGAAAAAAAAATAAAAGTATCTCAGCATTGTTGTTGTTAGGTGCCAATAAGTCGGTACCAACTCATAGTGACCTTATGCACAGCAGAACGAAACACTGCCCGATCCTGGGCCAACCTCACTGCTGTTGCCACGTTTGAGTCCATCAATGCTGCCACTTGGCCAATCCATCTCGTTGGGGGTCTTCCTCTTTTTCTCTGACCCTCCACCTTACCAAACATGGTATCTTTCTCCAGTGACTTGTCCCTCCTGACAATATGTCCAAAGTCTAAGAGACGAAGCTTAGCCATCCTGGCCTCCAAGGAGCACTCTGGCTGCACTTCTTCCAAAACAGATCTATTGGTTCTTTCGGCAGCCCATGGCACTTTCAATATTCTCCTCCAACACCATAACTCAAAAGCATCAATTCTTCTACAGTCTTCCTTATTCACTGTCCAGCTTTTGCATGCATTGTTGTTGTTGAGTGCTGACCCATAGCGACCCTGTATAGGGTCCATTGCGACCCATAGCGACTCTGTATAGGGTTTCCAAGTAGCAGCTGGTGAGCTTGAACCGCCCACCCTGCAGTTCAAACAGCTTTGCAGTCTGGCGCATTAACCCACAGTGCCACAGCATTAGAGTGCTATAAATACATTTTTTATTCCAGTTTTGTTTCTCTGCTTTAAATATACATTGACATACATTTGTAGTTTAAAAAGAAACCTGAAGGAAAACCATGAAAATGTTCACAGTGGTTCTCTCTGGATGGTGACACTGTGGCGGATGATTTTGCTACCATTTTATAAGTTTCTGTGATTGAATTTCTAATTCATCCAAAATCCATAAGTAGAAAAGAAGAAGCAAAAAACAGTGTTTTAGAGCTCCCAAAATGCAACAAAATATTTGATCCTTGCTGGAATTGGGAGGTGGGGTGGGATTGGCACACAAAATGGGTTTTACTAAATTTTACACTCATATGTGTTTGAATTCACCTCCAAAACATCAGACATGTGTCCCCTCGCTGAAGAGAAAAGTGCCTTTCATTTGATGTGACCTAGTGCCTAAGGGGCACCTTCTTTCCCAACTACCTTGAACCAAGCCCTCTTTACTTCCTTGTTTCTCAGGCTGTAGATGATGGGATTCAGCATGGGAGTGAGGACCACATACAACACAGACAGCACCCGTGCTCGCAAGCCAGAATATGCAGAGCTGGGAAGGATGTAGCAGAGAACTGAAGTGAGGTAGAAAATACAAACCATAGTGATGTGAGCGCCACAAGTGGAAAAGGCTTTTCTGCGGCCCTCAGCTGAGCGAATCTTGAGAACGGTAGCCACAACACGCATATAGGAGATCACGACCAGCGCACAGGGTGCAAGAGCTACCAAAAAACTGAAGAAGAACAAGGCAAGTTCATTGGCCCGAGTGCTAGAGCAAGAGAGTTTGAGGAGTGGAGGAAGGTCACAGAAGAAGTGAGTGATGAGGCGAGGCCCACAGAACTTAAGTAGAGCTGCAAGGATAGTGTGAGTAAGGGCATTTGTCAAGGCAAGCAGGCAGGAGGCTGAAGCAAGCCCTATCCGGGTCTGCCGGCCCATAAGGACTAGGTAGTGCAGTGGCTGGCAGATGGCTGCATATCGGTCATAGGCCATAGCTGTAAGCAGAAAACACTCCCAGGGTGCCAGGAAGTGGAGAAAAAATATCTGGGTAAGACAAGCACGATAGGGCATGGTCCGCACTGGAGCCAGCAGATGTGCCAGAACCTGAGGCATGGTGTTGGAGATGTAGACAGCGTCGAGCAGTGAGAGGTTGCCTAAGAAGAAGTACATGGGAGTGTGGAGTCGAGAGTCCATTATAATGAGACTTGCAATGCCCAGGTTTCCCAGCAGGGTCACTATGTAGATCAGCAGAAAGACAGCGAAGAGCAGGTACCTCAACTCCTCTGTGTCTGTCAGACCTTCCAGAAGAAACTGGGACACGAGGGTACCATTCTCCTGCACCTGTAGGGTCCAAGTCAAAGTCAGATAATTTACAAAGAAGTCAGATTTCAGGCTTAAAGGAATCGGATTCAGAATTGAAGTACGGAGTTTATGATCAACATACTAGTGGTAAGTTGTTGCTAAGGCCATCGAGTCCATTCCAACTCATAGTGACCTTGTATCTGAGAAGCAGCTGCTAGGTTGGAACCTCCAATCTTGCAGTTAGCAGTTGATCCTAAGTGTAAGTTAGATGGTAAATATAGATACAGATATAGATCTATGACTGCCATTAAGTCGATTCTGATTCATAGCAACCCCATAAAGGATTTCCAAGGCTATACATCTTTACTGGAGTGTAAAGCCTCACCTTTCTCCCATAGAGCTGCTGGTGGGTTTGAACTGCCAACCTTGTGCTTTCTTTACCTAGTAGCACCAGCAGAGCTCCTGAGTTAGATGGTTGTTGTGAAGTACCGTCGAGTCGGGTCCTGTAGAGGGCTTTCAAGGCTTTCCATGTTTTTCAGGAGCAGAAAGCCTCATCTTTCTCCAGTGGAGCAGCTGGTGGATTTGAAATGTCAGCCTTGCAGCTCACAGTCCAGTGCTTATCATATGGAAATGACAGTCCTATCACTCCATATACCCAGAAGGGTGTACAGACCTTGAAGTCACAGTGCATGTGTCTCTTATGTTGTTGTTGTTCTTGTTCTGTGCCGTGGAGTAGGTTCCGACTCATAGCTACCCTGTACAGGGTTTCCAAGGCTGTAAATCTTTATGGGAGCAGAAACTCTCCTCTTTCTCCCGCAGAACAGCTAGTAGTTTTGAACTGCTGACCTTGTGGTTCGCAGCCCGATTCGTAACCACTACGCTACCAGAGCTCTTTATAGGGATAGCAAAATTAATCCTTATCCAACTCCTGTCTGAATAAGTGACCCTGGATCTGTTAACTCTCCAAAATGTTCCCCTTACTTCATCATCAGAATCCCAATTTAGAATCAGTGATAAGATATTACTCAGGTTCCATCCTTCTGCTGTTCTTAACCTTCGGTGGCTCCCATCTCACTCAGAGCCAAAGCCAAAACCCTCCCCACAGCCTCCAAGGCATTCTGTGAAATCCTCCCTCCTCACTTCTCTGATCATCCCGCAAGAAGTCTATCAAGCTCTGAAAAGAAAATTAGGAAAACAATACCATGTACAATAACCTCCAACAGGATGAAATACTTAGGAACTAATGAAACAAAAGATCTATGCAAAGAAAACTACTAAACACTGCTACAAGAAACCAAAAGAGATTTACAAAAATGGAATAATATACTATACTCATGGATAGAAATATTTAGCATTGTGAAAATGTCAGTACTGCCCAAATCAATCTATAAATATAATGCAATCCAAATCTAAATCATCATTCTTTAAAGAGATGGAAAAAATGATCATGAACTTTATTTGGAAAGGAAAGCGACCTCAGATAAGCAAAGCACTGCTTAAGATGAAAAACAAAGTTGAATGCCTCTTACTCCCTGATCTTAAAATTTACTACAGTCAAAATGACTGGTACTGGTTAAATGAAAGATACATAGATCAACAGACCAGAATTGAGCCCCAGAAGGAAATCCATCCACACCCATTCAACAGATCTTGGACAAAGAGCCAAAACACTTTAATGAGGAGGAGATGTTCTCTTCAACTATTGTTGTTGTTGTTGTCAGGTGCCATAGAGTTGGAACCAACTCATAGCGACCCCATGCACAGCAGAACGAAACAATGTCCGATCCTGGGCCAACCACACTACTGCTGCCACACTTGAGTCCATCATTGATGCCACCTGGCCAATCCATCTCATTAGGGGTCTTCCTCTTTTTCTCTGACCCTCCACCTTACCCAGCATGACATCCTTCTCCAGCGACTGTTTCCTCCTGACAATATGTCCAAAGTAGGAGAGACGAAGCTTAGCCATCCTGGCCTCCAAGGAGCACTCTGGCTGCACTTCTTCCAAAACAGATCTATTGGTTCTTTTGGCAATCCATGGCACTTTCAGTATTCTCCTTCAACACCACAACTCAAAGGCATCAATTCTTCTACGATCTTCCTTATTCACTGTCCAGCTTTCACATCCATATGAGGCTATTGAAAACACCATGGCCTGGGTCAGGCGCACCTTAGTCCTCAAGCTGACATCTCTGCTCTTCAATACTTTAAAAAGTTCCCGTGCAGCAGATTTGCCCAATGCAATACGTCGTCTGATCTCTTGACTGCTGCTTCCTCGAGTGTTGATAGTTGATCCAAGAAGAATGAAGTCCTTGACAACTTCAATCTTTTCTCCATTGATAAGAATGTTGTTTATTGGTCCAGTGGTGAGGATTTTTGTTTTCTTGACATGGAGATGTAATCCATATCGAAGGCTGTGCTCTTTGATCTTCAACTATGGTGCTAGCAAAACTGGAAATTTATTTGTAGAATGACACAAGACCCATACATCACATCATATACAAAAGCAAACTCAACATGGGTTAAACACCTAAATATAAAACCTAGAATTATAGACACCATCAGTGAAAAATTAGGGACAAACTTAGGGACTCTAATATATGACATATAAACATTACAAAACACACACAAACAGTAGAAGACAAAGTAGATGACAGAGACCTCCTAAAAATCAGAAACTTATGTGCATTAAAAGACTTCACAAAAAGAGTAAAAAGGGAGCCCACAACCTGGGGAAAAAATTGTGCAACCACATTTCAGACAAGAGACTAATATCTAAAATTTATGGAAAATTACAACACTTATACAAGAAAAAGACAAACAACCCAATTAAAAATGGTCACAGGATATGAACAGACACTTCACCAAGGAAGACATTCAAGCAGCCAACAAATATTTGAAGAAATATTCATGATCATTAACCATTTGTTGTTGTTGTTATGTGTCGTGGAGTCAGTTCTGACTCATAGCGACCCTGTACAGGGTTTCCGAGGCTGTAAATCTTTACGGAAGCAAAAAGCCTCATCTTTCTCCCACAGAACAGCTGGTAGTTTTGAACTGCTGACCTTGTGGTTCACAGCCTGATTCGTAACCACTACGTTACATCACACCAGCATTAACAACAAAGTTTAACACACAGAGAGAGACAGAGAGAGAGAAAAAACAACTGGGACCCTCCTACATTGCTAGTGGGACTGTACAGTGGTTCAACCACTCTAAAAAATGGTCCAACCACTCTGGAAAGCAATACGGCACTTCCTCAGAAAGTTGGAAATAGGAATACCTTATGATCCAGCAATTCCTCTGCATGGTAGATATCCACAAGAAATACAAGCCAAAACAAGAGTAGATAAATGCACATCGATAATCATCACAAAACTATTCATAATAACAAAAAGATGGAGACAACCTAAGTGACCAACAATGGAATATTGGATAAACTGATTTTGTTCCATACACACAATGGAATACTATGCTACCTTGAAGAATAACAATAAAGCTGCAAAACCTCTCATAACATGGATGAACCTGAAGGACATTGTGCTGAGTGAAATTAGTCAAGCACAAAAGGACAAATATTGTAGGAGTTCATTATTGTAAAAGCTTAAGAAAAGGTTTCCAGACTAAAAGAAATATTCTTTGATGGTTAACCAGGGGTGGGATGGAGGAAAGAGTAATTCACTGGCTAGAGGATAGACACATGTTAGCTCTGGTGATGGAGAGGGCAACATACAAGAAAGGGGAAGGAAATACACAAGAAAAGAGTGGGTGGCAAGTGAATAATGATATGGGAAGATAGGGGAAATAGGAAAGAATGCATGGGTTAAATGGGATAGCTATAGATTGTAATATATACACAACCTTGTAACAACAGTGTTTTGTGAGTAAATACATGGATTGAGATATGGACTAAATGGGTAAGGAAAGAGGGAAAAAAAATGGTATATGTGTTTGACTGCCTTGTGTATATTGGTCTCTCCTGCCTCCTATTATAAAATAGACATTCATGTGTGATAGAAATGAATGTTGGAAATTATGATTACAAAAACTTGTAAGCCTATCTTCTGTATATAACTGATTGGATTTGCTAAAAGGGGAGTTAGAATTTGCCCAGAGACATAGGCTTCTTGACCTAGCCCCTGGGGGCTAGGGCTGAGAGTGAAGGAGCCAGCTAGTCTGAAATGCCAGGAGCTATGCGTGAGCTCCCAAACTGGTAGCTGGTACCCAGCTGATCAGAATCCTACCAGATGAAGATAAAAATGTTTGATACTGTGATCAAGGGTAAACTGCTATAATTTGATGAACTGAACTTTTGCAGCTGCTCAAAATTCCAACTGGGTGGTGTGCCATGGAGTCGATTCCGACTCATAACGACACTGTATAGGGTTTCCAAGGCTGTAAATCTTTACAGAAACAGAAAGCCTCATCTTTTTCCTGAGCAACAGATGGTAGTTTTGAACTGCTGACCTTGATTAAAGACCTAAATGTGAATCTCAGAATTATGAACGTCATCAATGAAAAAATCGGGACAAACTTGAGGGCACTCATTCAGGGAATACACAGACTACCAAACATTTTGAAAACTACACAAGCAAAAGTAGACAAAATAGATGAGTGGGACATACTAAAAATTAAAAACTTAATGTGCATCAAAAGACTTCACCAGAAGAGAAAAAAAGGAACCCACGGATTGGGGGAAAAAATCTTCTGCAAAGACACATCAGACAAGGGAATTATTTCTAAAATATATCGGAAACTACAACACCTCTACAAGAAAAAGACAAATAACCCAATTTAAAAATGGGCACAGGACATAAACAGACGCTTCACTAAGAAGAGATCCAGACAGCCAACAAACATATGAAGAAATGTTCACGATCACTAGCCAT